ACCACCACACGACACCGCTCTCTGTCCCCCTCCTGTTACCCCATTTACAGCGAGCCCCCCGCAAACCACACAGCCCCTCCGGGCACGGCGGTGCCCAGCGCACCAACGCGCCATCCCACGGCTTTCACGGACACCCCGGGAGGGAGCTCTTCCTGCTCAGGCACAGGGTGTACGGAGCCCCCGCCCGGGTCACCCCGGGCTCGGTGTGTGCACGACCTCCCCGTCCCGGGCACAGGGACACCCCGTGCTCGGTGTTTCTCCCCCGTCCCGGTCACAGGGACACCCCGTGCTCGGTGTTTCTCCCCCGTCCCGGTCACAGGGACGCCCCGGGCTCGGTGTTTCCCCCCGTCCCGGTCGCACGGCCCCCCCCGGCTGTCCCACCTGCGGGGCGGCTGCTGCCGGGGCTCCGTGCCCATCCTCGGCCGGCCCCGCCGGGCTCTTGCCGGGCTCCGCTCCGCGCCGGGCGGCACCAGGGCAGGCGGTGCTGGCGGCGGGTCCGCCCCGCACATGTGCGCGCCCCGCCCCGCCCCGGCCGTGCCCCGGCACCTGCCCCCCGCCCCCCGCTTCCTCCGCCCACCCAGCCCTCTGTCCTTCCCTCCCCTCACGCAGCCGTCCCTCTGTTCCTGCCTCCCTGCCAGCACCGTGCCGTTCAGCAGCCAAGCATCCCCTCCACCCATGGATCCATCTATCGTGGCACCACCACCACTTCCCTTCCACCCTTCACTCTTCCATCCATCCATCCATCCATCCATCCATCCATCATCCATCCATCCATCCATCCATCCATCCATCCCTCCTTCTATCCCTTGTTCCTGCCATTCTGCCCCTCATCCATCCTGCTATTCATCCATCTGCCATTTCCCCCACCAATTTTTCCTTCTTTCCATCCATCCATGCACCTTTCCAACCCTGCACCTGCCACTCCATCCATCCATCCATCCATCCATCATCCATCCATCCATCATCCATCCATCATCCATCCATCCATCATCCATCCATCCATTTCTCCCTCCCTCTCTCCATTCCTCCATCCTGTGCACAATGTTTTCCTTCCCTCACTGAGCTGCCCTGTACCCTCAGCCCCTCAGTGACAGTGCCAAGCCCAGGCTGGTGACACCAGGCTGGGGATGTGCTGCCGGAGTCTGCTCTGGTGGCACCTGGGAATGGCCTTTTCCTGCTGCCCTCGCAGCTGCTCCTGAGCAAAGGCCCATCCCACCCTGTTTTCTGCCCCCACACCTGTCCCTGCCCCACAGTGCACGGGGCTTGCAGCCAGATCCTGCCTGGCCCTTGCTGAGGGCAGGGATCTGGGTGGGTTCCTCTGCGGATTTTGGTTTGTCCAAGAGGGTGACTGCTGCCCCTGCTGCTCGGAGACTCGAAACCTGCTTGGGGGCCAAAATAGCTGCGGGTTCTTCAGTGAAATTCCAGTGAATTTTAAAAAAGCAAGCCCAGTCAGAGCCAAAATCCCCTTTCACGGGTGACCCACGGAGACAAACGCCCGCTGTGCACAGCACGTGGGATGAGAGCCCCGGGTGCCTGTGTCACCTGTGCCAGGTGACACCCCCGTGGAGGGACATGGGATCAGCCTTTGCCAGCTGAGTGGCCACCAAAGAAATCAGAAGATCACCTTTTTCAGAAGAAATCCTGAGGCAGCAAAAATAGCAGGACAGGGAAGGTGTGGTGTTGATTTCATGATGCCACCTGCCCCAAGGCCCAGGGAATGGCCAAGTGCTCGGGCAGAGCTTTGTGTCCCAGCTCCTCTTGGCCTGAGCTCTTCACTGGATGCCAGTCTGGGATGCCAATCTGACCTTTCCCACCCCTTCTCCCCCATTCCCACCTCCTCGTTTCAGACACAGCTTTTCAGGCAGATCCCTGAACTGGAGGAACTGGGGGGTGTCTGAAGGGCCAAAGCTGCAGAAGCCAAACTCCTCTGGTTGCTGGGTCTGCAGTGTGTCCCCTCCTGTCCCCTTTCCTCCCACCTGAGGCACTGGGAGCTCCTCGTTTTGCTTCTGGGGGCCCGGAGCAGCTGAGGAAGTTACCAAACATGGGCTGGGGGAACTCGCGGCGGCGGAAGGAAGCGGAGGAGGGCAGGGAGGGGCCGTGCCAGGGCTGCAGCGGTGACAAACAGCACGTGGGGCCACCAGGCTGACACAGCCAGCTCGGGGAAAGGGCTCTGGAGCAGGGGCACCTCCAAGGGATGTTGACATCAGCATGTTCCTGGGAGCTCCCTGGAGCAGGGAGCTGTGTTCCTCCTTATTGCTAGGTGGTCCGAGTTCAGGGGATCCTGGGGATGCTGGTGCCACACCAGGGTGACAGCAGGCAGCGGGACCAGGTGGCTTTTGGGGTCACATGGAGAGCAGGACTCGCATCCCCAGTGGCTCCCACACACAAGGAGGGGTAGCAGTGAGCATGGCTGTGGTGACACCAACAATGATGTTGGAGCTCCAGCCAGAGCATGGCCATGGAGCACTGGCAGCTCCAGCACATTCCAGCTCAGGTCCTGCCCCTGGAGCTGCCCACCAGCCCCAGCAGGAGGAGGAAGCTGAGGCTGTGCTCTAATGAGCTCATTTAAACCTTTGGGCTCTCTGTGAACACCCCAGAGTCAAAAAATGGGTTGGAAAGGACCTTAAAGGTCATCTTGTCCCAATCCCAGCAGGTGAAGGGACACCTTTTAACTGGACAGGTTGCTCTGAGTCCTGTCCAACCTGGCCGTGGACATGGAAGTTCACCTTACACTGAAGTTCAGTTCATCAGTCTTGTTCCCATTCTCTCTGCTCCGCACCCAGACACACTCCCTGAAACAGCAACTCCAGGTGAGCCCATTGCTCCCCTGTCCCTGAGCTCCCACAGGAATGGAGCATCCCAGCCCAGCAGAGCAGCTCTGCAGCCTCTCCCCACCGCCTGTCCCTTGGAGGGAAGGGGAAGCAGCGTCACTGAAAAGGGAACCTTCTTGTGTCTGGTTTTCCCCACAACTTGTGTTTTTCATTTCTCAGTGCATACTCAGAGGATCCTGAGAGACTCTTCCACAGCCCTTGAGAAATGAAACTGGGGCAGGGACCTTGCTGCGGGCAGATCTGACACCAGACGCTCCCCTTCCACCTCCCATGGAGGAGGTGACAATGTAACTTTACATGACCCAATCTGTTGAGGTGACAAAGGTTTTCTGGCCAGTTCTGGGCTGGGAGGGCTCCAGAGCTGTCCCACTTTCGGCAGAGGAGTCTGATCTGCGCTGCCGCCATTCCCAGCTCTTCGCGCACCCCCGGCTCCGGGCAGGATTCAGCCGAAGCTGGAGCCCCTCTCCTCGCTGCTCAGAGCTCCTTGCCCTGACAGCAAGGGATTCCTGCCCGGATCCATCTCCGGGACCTGGAGGAGCGCATACAGCTCCGGGAAGGGGCAGAGCGCTGGGAAGAGCCGGGCTGGGAGCGGCTTTCCCGTGGGCTGAGGTTTCCACCCTGTGTCCTGCCGGAGAACTGCAGCGATGGAGCGCCTTCGGCATCCCCCGGGGGTGCAGCTCAGCCGGTCCTGTGGGCAGTGAGTCCCTGGAAAACACTTCCCAGAGAGTGCTCTGCCTCTGGCAGCCTCCCTGGTCAGCACACAGGAGGGACGACGTGACGGTGCTGAAATTCCGTGGGTCCCGTGGGACCTGCAGCTGCGGTGACCGGTGACCCTCAGCCTCTGCCACCTCGGAGCCTCCAGAGCCAGCAGCGCCTTCACTTCCCAAAGCACCACAGCTCCTGGTCAGCAGCCAGCCCTGGACTCGGGAGCTCGCTGCGGGCACTGCCAGGTGAGCTGTGCCCATAAGCAGGGCTCACTCCAGGTCCTGATGACACTGAATGAATCTGGACAATCCCTGGGGCTGGCTGCACACCAGACCTCTGCTGTGCCACCCCTAGGCCTGGGGACAGCTGGACACATCCCCGGGCAGCCACACATCCAGAGCTGGAGGTGGCAACATTGCAGGGCTGCGAGCCCAGAGTAGCCACGGTTTGTTCTTCCCCACAGCCACGGGGGAACTGAGGCAGCACTGCCCAGCCATGGCCCAGCCTGTCATTGCCATTGCCCCTCCACTTGTGGATGCACATTTTGTGATGGCCAAGATGTAAATTAGGTGTAAATCTGAAAATCTGGCTAGAAACCACAGGTAGGTTCCTGCACCCCTCGGGAGATGGGCTCTGCCTTCCCAAATGCAGGGGCTGAGATATTTCAGCAAGGGACATCCCTGAGGAGCAAGGGACAGCCAAGATCCTCAGCTGGGACACTTGGGGCTGTTTGGCCTCTCCGGAGGTTTTGCTCCCAAATGAGGCTGCAGCGGGAGAGGGCCAGCTCCAGAAAAACAAGGACGGGGATCCATCCCCTTCCAGCCCCCTGGAGGGGTCCCTCCCCCCAGACACGACCCATCCTCAATCCCGTCCTGGGCTGGCGCAGTGGGCTTGGCGCTGGGACCCCAGCAGATGGCAGCAGGGCCTCAGGGTGAGCGCCTATGGATCGTTTCTTGCTGCGAATTTCCTTTTTTCCCTGCTTACTTTAAACAAAAGTAATCACCCCGTGCAAATCCACTGCAGATGCACCTTGGGATAAGCTGGACTGGGAGAGGGACACTGGCCCTGCACCTTACCCAGGTGACAAACTCGGTGTCCTCTGCAGGCACCTGGATGATATGTCTGCATCAGCCATGAGGAGAAAATGGAGTTTGTGGACAGGGTAAATGGGAAAAACGGGACAAAGATCTCACCCAACCCAAGAGAAAGAGGCTGGAAGCAGGACAGAGCCGGGCTGGAGCAGCCCATCCTCCTTTGGGGGTAGCAGGACAAGGGGATGTGCCCAGGTGGGCACACAGAGTTCTGAGCAAGGGCAAATCCAGGACTCTTCTGGGCAGGAGGCACCACCAGGCCCTCTGTTGTCCATAATCCCTGAAACCTCAATCCATTTTGCACCATTCCCAATGGCCAGTTCCATCCTGATGCTTTGATTTGCAGTTAGAGAGAAGTCACTCCATGCTCAGCAAAGCCTCCGAGGTGCCATCAGTGGGTCTAGGCTTAAATCTGTAAACTGGTGTGTTTAAAGCAAGTTATAAACCCAACCCTCTGGTTTATCAGGGCACCTGTGGCAGGGTGGATGTGCTACAGGTGTCTCCAGGTCTCAGGCAGTGAAGTTTTCTCTGCATTTGGGTGCCACGAGTGCAGCTCACACCCCTCATTGACCCTCACAGCAGCGACATTTTAGTGCTTCTGTCACCCCACAGCTTACGGTGCCACCAAATGACCCCGGTACCCGTGCGAGGAGACAGCGCTGTGGGCAGCGTTTGCTGGATGGGAGGTGCTTGCAGCTGGAATTCCGAGGGGCAGCGCCCGCGAGCATCCCGCGGGGTGCCCGGGCCAGGCAGGATCCGGAGCCGAGGATCCAGCGGAATCCAAGCAGGCGCTGTGCTGGGAGAATGGGTTTGCTTTTGTCTAGCGAAAGATGAAGA